TATATATATATATATATATAGAATTTGTAAAAAATTCATAAGGTAAATACTAAATAAGACCATAAAAAAATCATTAGGTTGAGAAGATGGATGATCACAAAAGCCCACTATCAGAAAACCGGCATTTGCAAAACAGTTTTAGTTCAGCTAATTTTCAGAGTCACTAGGTCATTCTGGAAAAGCTATACATTTTATAATGGTAAAAGCAAGACAGGACAGGGGATAAACTCAGCCAGCAGATTTGCATCTACATGCTTCGAATGGATGGCTTCCATACTCATGATCACCAAATCTAAATTCAGATCATCAGCAACGTCACCAATGATAGCCGTAGGCTTGCTTCCTTCCCCAAGTCGCTCCAAGAGGGAGAATTCCTGGAATCCTTCTGTCATTTTTCCCATGCAAGAAAATTGTAAGAAAATCTGCATTTCTAGAAAGGAACTTGAAGAAAAAGAGAACACGAATGGTGCACTATCAATGTCAAACCTGCACCACATCACAGAATCATCATTTTTATTTCATTAGTATTTTACTTTCATTAGCATGCCAATCAGAAAACTAAGTTTGTACTTCTATGACATGATTCAAGTTTAATTTCCATTATGTGTAAAGCATACAAAACCAGACTAATGTCATATATATCATGAATTTTGTTTCTTTTTTCAACCATATATATGTAGGAATGGGTGTACTTTATGATAATATTTGATATGTCATGAAATTGAAGATGCACATTCTTGCAGACTAGTTGCTGTTTCTTTCCCTCAGTACTCAACACAAGCATCTACTGCACTGTAATACCACTTTAAAATTCCTATGCTTGGTATGGAAGCCCCAAATGATTTTTCACAGAATGCATTAAGGAATACTGACCTTCAGAAAGATGCCAACGAATGCTAGATAGTTGAGTTTCATGCCCTAGCAAAGATTCTTTCTGCTTTTCGTCAATAACTGCAAACAACAAAAAGTTCTATTCTCCATAAGAGCCTGTTTACGAAAAAAAAATGTTCAGTAACTTAAAAACAGGCTTTACTACCTAGTTTTATCATGTACGAAATGGCATAGGTGAAGGTCAGTTCACATACCCACAACAGTAATGTCAGCCCCATACTTTTTTGCCAAAGCAGCAGTGGTTGCAGCAGCCTGCCCATAATCAACAAGAAGCATCTATAGAATAAAGATATAATACCCAAGAAAAGCATGGCAGCTAAAGGTTGACAAAAGCTACCGGCCATCCCAATATCAGCATGTTGCTAGACTTGTGCTCAACAATATTCCATCAGAACAACTTTAAGTTTCAAAACTGAAGTTCAGGTTTGAAAATTTTATCTAGAGTGTAACTGACAGAAGATGTGGAGGATCTTTGGGACAAATGACATAGAAACATAAAAATCATGGCAGTCTGTTCCAATATATGCACTGAAAAAGTGATAAAAAGTAATAACCAACACTCTTTTTATCTCGAAGAAGTTCATATTATCTAAAAGGAACTGAATTTTCAAACAAATTTTAAGAATGATTTGCAATAAATCTTAGATGACTTAAGAAAGGCACCTGTCTTGTCCCCTCCGATAGATAAGGGTTCCAGTCAGTGATTGGCAGAAGCAGGTGCTTGAAATGAGTAAATCCATCGGCACCTAGATCAACTTCAGTTTCTTGAGGCTCAGCCTTGGCTAATAACAATTAGACCAAAACCAAAAGTGCCAAGTCACAAGCCAGGATTTAAAAACACAAACGTATCAATTCACAAAATAGCTAGAAACAATTACATAAGGATGCACCAAGAAAAGTTTTCAATTTCTTTATTTGGATGATTAAGAAAATGTTTCCCAGTTATATTTAAAGCCGAAAACCACCAAGTAAAATAAACAGCAAGAAGCTGCATTTGGGGTCGACCCAATAGTTAAAGGTTAGAACTTTGTGTGAGAATACAGCTTGCTATGTAGTTGCTATGACATGAGATGTCATCCAAGTCAAAATTGATGGAAAACAAGACTGCTTGGGGGATTTTCACCATAAACAACACTTATCAACAAATACTTAATACATTCATTCATATATTACTTTCCAAAAACTCAAAGAGAGCAAAGCATTCATGAATTTCACCATATCTGTAACAGTAGTGAAGATCAATGTTCCCAAAATCTATCCTAGGCTTTATGTGCAACCATAAACCAACTTGGTCTGAATTTGCACAGGTCCAGGCTCAATTCCCAAATTTGAACTATTCTTATTTCCTAGTAATTCTCTCCTTCAGTTTAAATAACTTTTTCAGAAAATCCTTACGAAAACATTCTAGACTTATCCAATATCTAAAATTTTATATAAAATTGAAGAACATCAGTATTCAAAACCAAATCAGTACTAGGAAAATTCAAGAAATCATCAACTAGAAATTCCTCAGGCTAGGAAAAGCAAATGTTACCCCGGGAATCAATAGCAAGAATCCAGCGTCAAACCAGTCCAAACAAATGAAAATAAGAACCTAATTTAATTTAAACTGCATATCATTAAAGAACAAAAATCATAGCAATTGAACTCACCTTTGTGCCCAACTCTGCGGATTTTGGGAAGAAAAGAGAGCTTTCGAGCTTTAGACAAGAAAGAAGAAGAAGTGAGAGACAAGGAGGGCAGAGACGATTCATTAGGTGAAGAAGAAAATGGATATATGGAAGCCTTAGCGAACTTTGAGGTTTCCGCCGGAACTGCAACCAAAGAGTGAGCTAACGCCATGGAATCAGTGAACTCGGAGAATGTGAAGAAGAGCGAGGTTCTGCTGCTGATATGTTGCAGTCCAGCGCAAAGTTCGGACTGTAAAAAGGCGGCTACCTACTATAACAAATAAAAGTCCGTGTTTGTAATAGAACAGTTAAATAATTATTTTAATAAATATTATTAATGTTTTTTTAATCTATGTTTTAGGTATAAATTAAAAATATTTTTTAATAATAAATTTATATAAAAAAATATAAAAATAAATATTAATTTTAAAATTAATATCATGTGAATAAATTTAATCAAATAATTAATAAATTAAACATTATTTATTATTTTTTTAAGACTTAAAAAAAAACCCTGTTACTAAATTAAATATAAAAAGAGTTACTATAATTAATATTGTAGTTGAATAGAGTTTAAATTATAAAAGAGACCATAAATATTAGTAAATAAAAATAGCAAAATAATATACAATTCAAATTATATATGACATTAATACTATACATGGTTGGTCTTTTTTTATTTAAGAGTAATGATGGAATAATAAAAATTTAGAATAAAAATTTAATATTAATGATTTAGTATAAGTTAAATCATTAAATTAATTCATATAGATAATATTATAAATTTTAAAAAATAAAAATATAATTATTAAATAATATAAAATTTACTTTTTAATGTTCTAAATAACATAATTTATATGACATGATTATTATTTTTTATCTTAATTACATAATAAAAAATAATTATCTCTTATTTTTTATTTTATTCTATCATATGTCCTACGAAAATCATCACTAAATTACTAAATTATTAAAGTAATTGACATAAGACGGTTAATCTTAAATTTTAATCTTTATTTATCGTTAATTTTTATTTAATACTTTTTATTATACAGTTTATAACTCAAAATGGACAGAGAAGATAAGATTGCACACGCACGATGTGTATGATTATGGCGATGCGCGTGGGCCAGGGTTTTAATCAGCACTTTTAATTTTTGTTGGGAGTAGAAACGCATCGTTTTACCGGACCACTTCAGATAAGATATGTGAACGACGAACCGGGGACGGTGGAAGCGTTGCGGCTGGAACGGCGGAGACATGAGTAGCCAGGAAGACGACGGAGACGAACAGCCTGAACAAGAGATGACGGCGGTTTCTCGTCATTTCTTTGGGGATTCTGAGAAACCAGCCTTCTCCATATCGATACTTGAGGTACTTGATTTTCATCGAATTTCTCTGAAAAAAGAGAACAAGATCGAGTCTTGGGTTTAAAGCTTGAAGCTTTTCTCTATGATGAACAGAATATGAAGGAAGAGTATGGTCTATTTGTATGGCCCTGTAGTGTCATCCTGGCCGAGTATGTCTGGCAACAGAGATTGCGCTTTTCTGGGGTTAGCGTAGTCGAGGTATGTTGTAATTTCCATGAAATTTTGTATTCTAGCTTCTGTATTCAGCTTTTCTGCGATGCCATTGTTAGTTCTGTAGCTGGGTGCAGGGACGTCCTTGCCTGGTTTAGTGGCTGCAAGAGTAGGTTCAGATGTCACGCTTACAGATGATGCAAATAGATTTGAGGTATTGCTGATGTTGATTTTCTCTAAACCTATTGCTTACATTACTTAAGAAACTGTCAGTATTTCACTATGCTTTTCCTTTCAACGATTTTTTCTTACATTTCCGTGGCGTTTGATATGCAGGTGCTCGACAACATGAGGAAAGTGTGTGATCTAAATAAGCTAAAGTGTAAAGTAAACTATCATCAATACTTGTGTTTTGTGAATGAGCATCCTGCTAACCTTTTAATTTTTCTTAGAATGTGTGATTAATTGAATGCAGTATATCTGTTCAATTCTTTGAAATGTCAATATCTCTACCATTGATGTATAGAGAAACTGACTTCCTCACATTTTTAGGTGCAAGGATTGACATGGGGGCTTTGGGATGAATCTCTTTTCTGTTTAAATCCAAAGATTATACTTGGAGCTGATGTGTTATATGATTCAAGTGGTAAGTCACACTTGAAGTCACTCTGTGCCTTCTTGGTCCTTTTCTTTTTCTTCTTTTTCTTGAATCAATTAACTTGAGCTGAAATGTTTGATGTATTTTGTATTGATAAGCCTTTGATGACCTCTTTGCTACGGTTACATTTCTGCTACAAAGTTCTCCAGGCTCAGTTTTCATAACAACTTACCATAATCGAAGGTATAATGCATCTCCTTTAGATTCTTTTGCAATTTTACTTGCTGCATTTTAATTTTTTATGGATCTTTCAGTTCTAATGTGTTCTTAATAATATGCAGTGGACATCATCTTATTGAGTTCCTTATGGTGAAATGGGGACTAAAGTGTGTGAAACTTCTTGATGGTTTCTCATTCTTGCCACCCTATAAGGCATCTAGACTAAGTGGCAACATTCAATTGGCGGAAATCATGTTGGACCTTGAGGATGCTGAGGTACTTAATAAATTGGATTTGCAAGCCTAAGTTTCTGGGAATGTACCTCCTCTGATTACCTTCTTGCTTCTCATTGCTGCAGGATACTTCTTCCTCTGGTGCCAGATGACTATTTGAAGCATCCTATAGAGCTAGTGCTGCACTTTTATGGTATGAATGGACTTTGTTTTACCACAAATTTAGGAGGTATTATTATTGCAAAATGGGAGCATAGCTCTTTGCATGTGATGCTGTAAATAACATGTGGTTAAAAAACTATAAAAGGTTCTTTTATGTGGCCTGGATTGGTTTGCATTTAGATAAATTGTTTGTTTATTTGTTCATCAAATATGATAATGCTCTTATTTTGCTGCTGTTTCTTTAATTTAATGATTAAATCCTGGGCATTTTATCACTGGTGCCTGTGTTAGTTTCCCTGTTGGACCTGTTATCATTTAGATGGCTTGTGTACTTTAAATCCATGATAATTTGCTAGTGAATCTCCGATTATCAGAGGCACTTCAATGGCCTTTGATTTGAAGGGTTGACTTTTCCTTCTATTGCTGAACATAGTCAAGTATAATGATCAAAGAAATTATTTGCAAGCTAACAAACCACATATCCTTGATATGCTAGAGATGTGCTTGAACTTTAATTTAATATCAGCTATAGAGTCCCAGATAGAGGTGCTTAATTATCTGGTCATATCTAAGGAGGACACAGAGGGAAGCTGGCCATTAATGTATTATCCAGCTCTACATGGTTTAAGATTTTGAGAGCTAGGCTAAGAGATCCTTAATTTACCACCCTGCAATCTTTCCTGACCTCTTGTCCGCCAGTCAAGCTACTCATTTTAATCATAGACTTAACAAAGGCCTCTGAGAAAGCTACTTGGGAGCCAGCAAACTCACTGACCAAATCTTTGGTGTTGGGGGTTGTCAGCAAAGCCTCGTCTGAAGAAAACAGGGCTTTCCCCTGAAGGATCAATTTGTAGTACGTGTTGTCAAAGGTTGTAGATGAAGGATCCATTGTGGCACCAGCATTCTTTGCCGCGTTGTTCGCTGGACAAACACTCCTCAAGGTTGCTGCAAATGAAGGCTGCATCGTGGGGTCTATATCGTGTGTGGCATTGAAGTTGCGAATTCTCTTTTGGAAGGAGGAACAGTGGGAAAATCCAATAGTATGGCCTCCTGCAAACCCATCAAGAGCAACATCATTATGCAGTCTCAAAGTATGAAAGGTACTTGGGTTTTGTTTAATTACCTGAGAGAGCTACGAGATCATCCATGGAAAGACCTCTCTGAGAGAAGCTTTGTTGCAGCTGAGAAATGTTGAAGGCTGGAGCTGGTAATTGTGCGGTTTCACTAGCCTTTGAAGTTCTCCCATCTTTTCTCCCTTTAGGCACATCCCACGTTGGTCCTCCAGACTGATACACATCAACACAAAAGTAGCCATTCAGGAAGTGCAAGTAGTTTATGACAGATAATTGAGATATGGGTTTATGGTATTGAGATTTGGGTTTATGGTCTTACTAATACAACAGCATCTCTAGCAGCAAAAGCCAAGATATCAGCACATGAGACAACACCGGGGCACGCGGCTTCTACTTCTTTCTTTGCATCATCAATGACAAAAAACGCGTGCAGAGAAATATTTGGAGGCCCATCCTTCTCTGCTTTGTTAGTTCCTTTCGAGTTCAACAACACAGAAGCATCACAGCCCTTCAGAAGAAGAATCAAGGAAAGTTTACAACTCAATCACAATATATATAGCAAGCAAAATTAACTATCACGTATAACCGTTAATTAATTGTACCCTGATGAAGCAGTCGTGAAAATGCATCCGAAGAACCGCAGCAGGAACTGTCTTATCTTTGATGGCTGCGTTCTTAACTACTTTTGCAACTATATCCTCAGCATCAGGGCATGTTTTGTCATAATAATTCAAGCTCAGTGCGTTGGCTGTCGAAGACACCGACAGAAGAAGTGAGCTTAAGAATGCTACGATGAAAATCATGATAGGAAATAGCTGAAGACTCTTTAATCAAAGCATGAAATTGGTTTGCATGAAGCTAAGAATAGAAAGGGTATTTAAAGGGACAGGCTTTATCCGGTGCACTGATTGTCTATTGTCAACAAGCAGGAGCAGAAGGCCCCAGATTGTAGTCATGGATTTGTTAAGCGGGAGATTTCAATCACGCAGTAGTGTTTGTTAAGCAACGGCGGCGGCAGTGGTTATGACCAGACAGCCATTTGTTAGACCCACGCAATAATTTTATTTTAATATGACTATTAAAAGTAATTAATAATTAATAAAACAATTAATATATATTATTTAATAGATTAAAATTAATTAATAGACAAGTTTAAGACAATAGAAAGTTATACGCTGATATAAAAGATAAAAAAAAAAAGTTAAATTGTGTGACTATAAGTTATAAACACATCCAATAATGAGTATCCTATCTAGTTCTTCGTCAATCAATTTCTCTTTTTTGAAGAAAATGTATAAATAAGAATGTTAATTTTATATTTTTTTATTTAAAGATATTAATTTTGTTAATTTTTAAATAAAAATATTATTTTTTTTAAATATCAATTTTTATTTTTTTTTAAATATTAATTTTTTTAATTTAAAAATTAATTAGATAGTGATATTCACGTTACAAAAGCAGTACCACGTTCAGTGAAAAGATGTGATGACTGATGAGGCCAAATAATTCCATAACGAAAATGTGTCCATTCCAGCAGTGGTTACGGTGAATCCATCAGAGTGGTTATTGTTGCTGTGTTGCTGTCATGAACGCTTGTGTCGTAAGTCTCACTATAATGTTGGTTATGATGGGAGGTTTTAGTCTAATGACAAACTAGTCAAAAAGGTTTAGCAAACACCCAAAAGGTTAGTTGTGGTCCTTGTGGACTCGTTTAGCATTTTAGTGTCTTAACCAATGACAGCTTCAAACTAAGACTTTTAGTTATAGATGTAACATCTCTAGTCACCTCTTCCAGCTAAAATCACACTT